CAAAAATCATTGGAAACGAGCGAAAACTCGCTGATTTACAGCGTTTTTAAATTTTACTGAGACTTAGACTACAAACTACAAACATTTCCTAAGCCTCAGTAAAATTGCAAATAGCTTCAAAATGACTCAAAAATGCTAGTGTTTTCGCATTTTTTCTCAATTTTAAGCCCCGGAATTTGCGGGGTCTCATTTTTTGAATTTTAATAAAACTAGGGGAAAAAAGAGGGAAAATTAAAAATTTCAATAGAAGATCGGTAAAGAAAGTATGAAAAAAATTTAATTTTGATAATTCTGAAGGTACCTGAAAAGGGAATTTTGGCTAAAATCGGAAGAAAAAGAGGGAGCAAAAGTTTGAAGAGACGCAGAGCAGACCTCGGCCATTTTATGTGTTTTTAGGCCAGCTGCTTTTTTTCTTTTCTTTGAAAAAACAACTTTTGTTGATATTTAAGACGGAAAATCGATTATTAAAAACTGTTTTCAGCAAAAATTCAATTTCGCTGCAGGGCCCAACGAAACGATTGGGAGTGTGCGCCTTTAATGATTACGGTAGGAGAATTTTTTGTTGTTGCAAATTTTAAACAAATTTTTTGCAGATGTCAGAGAGAAAAGAGGGATTTCCCTCGAATTTCGGCGATGAATACAATTTAAAGCCGACGAGAGAGGTTTAGAGAAAAGCGGGAAATTCAAAAATTTGAAAATTTACAGGAAGAAAATTATTTCTACACATGTCAAGAGGAAGATGAAGGTCCCAAAGTGCTGGCGACGATGAGAAATATGTTTGCAGAGACGAAAAGCGATGAATACGAACTAGTTTATCATAATGTGTCCGAATCGGAGCGAATTCAAATGCTCAACCTGATTCCAAGCCAAATTCCCGCCCAAATTCCACAAGCTCCGCCCACAAATGTGACACGTATCATTGTTCCACGTCTCCAGCCGACAGCACAGCCGAGACCGACACCGTTCGACATATTATACAGAATTTTCAAAATTCACCGATTCCACAGAATTCTGGGAATTTTCAAACCCCTCAATATTTTCAAAAATTCCAAAATCCCTCTTCAATTTCTCAAAATCCGCCGCCTCCTGGACCCGCTGATGTGGCAGAAGAAGAGGAGGAAGAAGATCACGAAGAAGACGATTTTGTAGAGGATGTGAGCTTTTTACTGAGGCTTAGAGACAGTTTTGTAGTTTGTAGTCTTGGAAAATTGAAATTCAGAAAAAAAAACAAAAATTTCGTGATAAAATTCATTGAAAACGGATGAAAACTAGCCGAGTTACAGCGTTTTTAATTTTTACTGAGGCTTAGACTACAAACTACAAAAATACAAACTACAAAAAAGCTCAAAACAATTTATATAGTTTGTAGTCTCAAAATAATTAATTTTAAACAATTTTTTTGAAATTAAGGATGTTTTCTAGCCGAAAAAATCTCTGAAAACCATTAAATTTTTTGACACAGTGAATGGCTACAAACTACAAAAATTTTAAAAACTTTCGAGTCAAAAATCATTGAAAACGAGCGAAAACTAACCGAGTTACAGCACGTTGAAGTTTTACTGAGGCTTAAACCACAAACTACAAAATTTTCTAAGCCTCAGTAAAATTTTTAAAGCGCTATGGTTTGCTTTTTTCGGCTATTCAAATGAAATTTAAAATCCCAAAATTGACATTAAAAAACGATTTTTTAAAGCCTAAAACTCTAAGACTACAAACTACAAAATTCTCTAAGCCTCAGTAAAAATTGTCTTGGCTCATTTTAATGGTTTTTAAGCAAAGGCATCCTTATTTTGTCTGAAAATCTGAAAACGCTGAAAATTTCACCCAAATTCTTCAAAAAACCACTTTTCTAGCTCCTAAACCTGCCGATTTACAGCGTTTTTGAAGCTTTACTGAGGCTTAGAGACTACAAACTACAAACATTGCTAAGCCTCAGTAAAAATGAAAATAGGTTTAAAATGACTCAAATTTGCTCGTTTTATCTCAATTTTTCAGATTTTAGTTGATTTTAGAGGGAATTTTTCCGCAATTTTGAGGAAAAATGCATTTTTAATAATTTTTTTAAAGAAAAAAATGTTTAATATTTAAAAAAGTTTCAAATTCAGAGAAAAAAATTCTTCTGAACGTTTTGGTTTAAGAATGCGATTTCTACGATAATTTTGAGACGAGTTATGGGACGAGTATATATATTATTTTGAGACGAGTTTTTTGAGATTTTGACTACAAACTACAAAATTTTCTAAGCCTCACTAGGGAAGGTTGTAATCGGGGGGTGGAACTTGGTATGAAACTTATATCATTCGAAAGCTGAGAATGAGACATTTTCAAATCTGTATTCAGATTTTGCTGAGGAGCTACCAGTTTCGAGAAAATCAAGTTTCAAATTTGGCTCAAATTTGACTCTTAAGGGCGCCGCGCCTCCCCTCTTTCATATATAGATTGGGGGAAGGGAAACAAACAGCGAGCAGTGGTGTAGTGGCGAGGAGGGATGTACAGTAGGCGACTAGATGCAGGTTCGAACCCCTTCTCGCCATACTTTTTTTGCGTTTTTTTTTTCTAGATTTTTGAAGGATGAAAGAAGGATTTTTAAAAAAGGATAGACTTAAATTTTTGAATCTTTTTTGAAATTCTGAAGGCATTTTCTAATTTTGAAGACGCGGTTTAATTCTGAAGGCGCGAAATTTTTTGCTTTTTTTTTGGCTGACAAGCACCAGTTTTTGATCATATTTATTTCTTGACATGGTTTTGAACGTAGCAAACGTTCTTTTTTTGCTCCTGAAATACTATTCTATTCAAATTCCTGATGATCCTTTGGTGTCGAGACAAGAGAAAAAATTAGCCAGAGTGCTATGCAATATCATGGACCAGTCAAAAGAAGGCGATGTAATGATCGAGGAAACAGAAGAAGTCATTGATGAAGAATCTGGAGATTGGGAACCCGAGGAGTTTCAGGTAATATTTGTTTTTATACTGGATTCACAAAAATTTTTAACAGCCTTACGACGATTTCGTTCTTCCTTCTCTTGACTGGTTGAAATTTGGAGAAAAGGCTGTGTCCAGACAAGATGGCCAGACTGCTATTGACTACTATCGGAACACCACAAAAGGCTTCCGTTCTCTGGATTCAATGAAATCTCGGTTCCGATGGATAACGGATGCAAAACACATCGATAAGTTGAGAGCATATGAAAAAGAGAAGAATGAATTCAAGGAAACCCGGACTGATTTATTGAAACTTTTGAGCAATCGGTTGTTCGAAGTGGTCCAAGACAAATTGAAAACGGGTAATTTTGAAATTGTCCAGTTTACTATAAGGTTGAAAATTCTAGGATTTTCCCTTCATGATCTTGATTTACAAAGATTTGCGCTCCGCATCAATAATAAGGAAACCAAAATTCAAGAATTCAAAGCTTCGGAAAGCTGGATTACGTCATGGAAGAAATCCCACAGGTTCAAAAAACAACACTACATCTTCTTGTAACTATTGAAAAAATTTGTAGAATCGTCAGCAGGAAGATCACCAAATTTGTTACCCGGAAATGCATGGTTGATAAGGAACTGATAAAAAAGAAGGCTGAAGATTTTGTGAAAGTATGTGGAAGAGAGATGTCGCTTTTCAGTTCATCTATGATTTTTAACTCGGATCAGACTGGGGTACAGAAGGAACTTTATGGTGCGCGGAGTTTGGCGTTTTTGGGAGAGAAAAATGTCGAAAGATTGATTCAATCGAAATCATCGTTGACACATTCTTTCACTTTTTTGCCAATGCTGTTTATGGATGGAACGATGGGACCCAAAGCTTTTATGGTCCTTGCTGAACCTTCGGGAGACTTTCCTCCGTCTCGTCCGATTCCTAATTGCCCAAATCTGGAAGTGAGGGCAGGAAAGTCCCACATTATGACCAAGGATTTGATGAGGGACTGGTTGAAATCATGTGTTTTTATTCCGGAGAACCCAAAAAGATGTACATGCTAATCGATAGTTGGCCAAGCTTCACAGACCACACTTCTATTAATCAATGCATCCCTTCCGGTTTTAATGTGACCATCAGGAACATTACCCCCACAAACGACGGGTCTCATTCAGCCTTCGGATGCCCATTGGAATGGGCCATTTAAAGTATGTCAATCAGAAAGATGACACAGTATATCCAAAAAATTTTTTAGAATCTCCTCAAAAAGTTCATGTCGTACGCTTTGGCTTTTCATACGGATTATATCATTGCTCAACGGAATAATGAGATTTGGATGATTTCTCTTCTCTTTCACCAAATTTCGTCAGATTATTTCAAGCCGTTTTTGCAGTATTCTTGGAAGAAAACAGGCTACATTGACTCTTCATCTGGTTTTGAGACTCCAGCAAAGTTTTGCTTTGATCAAGTCGGTGATAAGGCCTGCCACGAGCCTGGATGTCCTGAACTATCGTTTATTCGATGCTCTCGTTGCAAAGAATACATTTGTTTTAACCATTTTATTGTAGTAGATAAGCATTTGTGTCCGCATAAATAAACTTTATAAAGATGAAAAAAATGACTTTTTAAAAATTTTGAATCAATCCAATGCTATCAGAAACTTGGCTTCCATTAAAAAAATTTGCTTGAAATTGCTTCAGAGCTCATTTACAATTGTCCGAAAATCCAGAAAAAAAAACGCAAAAAGTATGGCGAGAAGGGGTTCGAACCTGCATCTAGTCGCCTACTGTACATCCCTCCTCGCCACTACACCACTGCTCGCTGTTTGTTTCCCTTCCCCCAATCTATATAAGAAAGAGGGGAGGCGCGGCGCCCTTAAGAGTCAAATTTGAGCCAAATTTGAAACTTGATTTTCTCGAAACTGGTAGCTCCTCAGCAAAATCTGAATACAGATTTGAAAATGTCTCATTCTCAGCTTTCGAATGATATAAGTTTCATACCAAAGTTCCACCCCCCGATTACAACCTTCCCTAGTCAGTAAAACTACGAATAGGTTCAAAATGGCTCAAAAATGTTCGTTTTTGCTCATTTTTCCTTAATTTTTAGAATTTCTCGAGATTTTCGAGCTGATTTTGGGGATTTTTAATTTTTTAAATAGCAAAAAATGGAAAAAAAAATTTTTTTCGAAATTTTTTTTTCTTAAAATTCAAAATTTAAAATTTTTCCAGTGTCTCCAGAATCGAATTGTCCATCATTGTCCGGAATGCAGTAAGAAGTACACATCGGAGCGAAGACTGAAACACCATATACAAGTACATAAAAATGCGGACGCCTATAAATGTCCGAAATGTGGATATTGTTATCAGAGTCCGGATAGTTTACGACGGCATTGGAAGGTGAGTTGGATGGTAAAAATACTGGAAATTCTGAAAAAATTCTGAAATTTTTGCTAAAAATTGAAAAAAAATTTTTTTTCAAATTTTTCAAAAAAAAAATCTTCCAGAAAACTCCAAACTGCGACGAAATACCTCCAAGGACCCAGAGCGCCAATTTAGCACCATGACCAATTCATTTTTCTCTTTTTCTTGTTGATTTTCATTGATTTTTGTTTATTTTTGCCATTTTTACAACATATTGACCCTCGAAAAATGTTTTACTTTAACATTTTTTTATTTTTTTTCATTTATTACTTTAACACAAATCCCAGTGATTCTTTTTTTTCAATTTTTAGTGTTAATTTTTTAATGAAAATTTTGAAATTTTCTCTTTTTTTTTAATCAAAAAATTCTTGATATTTGTGTATTTTTCAATGAAATTTGGGATATTTTTTGCAATATTTTGCGTTATTTTAGCATGAAATTCGCAAAAATAGAAGTTAAACTGGTTTTGAGCATAAAATATGCAATTTCAGCTTAGCTGTAATTCCAGAATTTTATTTTCATAAAAAATCTGGAAACTCAAAAAGAATGAAAATTTTGAGTTTATCAAAATTTTAAAATCTCTAAAATTTCCGAAAATTCTAGCCAAAAATGACTCTTCTAGCTTCAAAACAAGCCCAGTTACAGCGCCTAGAAGTTCTTACTGAGGCTAATAGACTACAAACTACAAAATTTGCTAAGCCTCAGTAAATTTTGAAATCACTCTAACTCGGCTAATTTTCACCCGTTTCAAGCGATTTTTGGTTCAAAAAATGAGAATTATTTTCTTTTTTGTTGAAAATTGAGAATTTCCAGAATGCGGGGAATATCGGACGCGGGCGCCGGTCCCGGTCCGGGGACAGCAGAAGCTCAAGGAAGAGCAAATGCGCTCCATTCAAAACCAGTAAAAGGATTCTACGATCATGAGAAAGTGAGAAGGATGTGGTTGAAAGAAGAGGAGGAGGGATCTATGAATGCACCGTCGACGTCAATGCCTTCGGCGATTCCCAAAAAACCAGATATTACCACAAAAGCGTATATAGGACCTTCTAAACCGATTTTGCCGCGAAGAAATACTCAAAATGGAGCAGATTTGCGAGCTCCCGGACCTTATACTCACAGACCCTACTGTCTTGGGCCCGCCAAGCCACGTGTCGGCTACCCTAACCGAAAACCAATACCTATTCGAGAAATACCGGTCCAAAAGGTCGAGCCTGACCTGGATTGGTCTATTCTGGACCGCCTAAACAGGAGCATACGGTCGCCGACCGCCGACGATTTGAATATTCCGATGCATTCCCGGTCGCCGAACCCGCTTACTGATGATTGGAATCTTTTAGAAGCTGTGGCGTCGTCAGAGGGGCCTTCAGAAGATGCCACAACGTCTATAACGCTGGAAAGTTCGGTAGAGCGCAATTGCACCAGTCCAACTGCCGAATTTCCCGTTTACGATTTTCTTGAGGGTTTCGATGAATTTCTGAATACAAAAAACCTGGAAAATTCGAAAATATCGAATGTGGACCTAAAAAATTCCCAAAAATCGAGTCCAACAAATATTGCTGAAGCCCTGCAGAATGTTTTCGCAAATACCTACCAAACATCATCATTTTCCCGCAATTGTGAGCACTTTTTTCAAATATTGGCGTCAGATTCGGTGTTTGCGGACTAGATGAGAAACTAGCAGAAATTAAAAATTTTAGACCAAAAATGAACGTTCTACGATGATTTCAAGCCAAGTTATAGTCAAATTCAGTTTTCCTGAGGCTTAGAATCTTTGTAGTTTGTAGTCAAAATCTTGAAAACGTCATAACTTTATCAAATTTCAATAATTTTAGTCGAAAAACGAGCACTGTACGTTGATTTTGAGCCGAGTTATGGGAGTTTTAAGATGTTGACTACAAACTACAAAAAATCCTAAGCCTCAGTAAAAATGATTTTCTCTCATAACTTGGCTCAAAAACATCGTAGAAGTCTGATTTTTTAACCAAAACGGTACAGAATTGTGTCTAGTTTGTAGTTTTTGTAGTATTTGTATTCACCGGATAGAAGTTTTCAAATCTTGGCGTCAGATTTGGTGCTTACGGACTAGCTGGAAAATTTTGGAAGTTTTCGGTTATGAAACGAGTTTTCTACGATGATTTTAGGCCAAGTTAAGGTTTAGACTACAAACTACAAAAACCTCTTAGCCTCAGTAAAATGAACCATCTGCAAACACCGATACGACGAATTGCGGACTTTTTTCACTAAAATTCGAATTTCTTAATTTTACAGTACCCCAGCGATACACACAGAGAGCCGCACGAGAGAAGGACAGATTTCCAGTCAATTGCAACGTAAGACTACAAACTACAAAATTGTCTAAGCCTCAGTAAAATTTTGAAATTGACTGTTTTCGACCCAAAAAAGTTTTTTTTTCAATTTTTTAAAGATTTAGACATTAAAGACTACAAACTAGACACTACAAACTACATTTTTAGAGAGTTTCTCCTATCGATGGATCGGATGACGTGGCAGAGGACGACGGAAAGCCGGTTCCAGTGAATCCACGTCAGTTTGTGAGAATTCTGAGAAGACGTGAAATGAGAGCACGTCAAGAAGATTCTGGAGTGATACCCGTTGAACGACAGGCGTACTTGTATGAATCTAGACATCAACACGCACTGTCGAGAGTCCGATTGTCGGATGGGCGATTCGATCCGGCGGGTGACTACAAAAACTACAAACTAGAGAGAATCCTGAACGTTTTGGTTCAAAAATCAGACTTCTACGATGATTTTGAGCCAAGTTATGGGGCTTTTGAGATTTTCACTACAAACTACAAAAATTCGCAAACCTCAGTGAAAATTAATTTGACCATAACTTGGGCCAAAAAAGCTCATTTTTGAAGGGAATTTTGTCTTTTCAAAAAAAAAAAAAAGATTACTGTAGAAACTACAAAAACTACAAACTACAAATTTCAGCCCGGAAAAATTCTGGCCAACCACCGACTTCTGAAATAGTGCCAACTCAGCCGACGCTCAAAAGACAGTATACGCCGATTCGGTATGTTTTTAGAATATTAAAAATCCAATTATCGATTTTTTCAAGCCCCGCCCATTCCGATCAAGATCCGCTTCCGAAACCGTCGGAAATGTACAGAACAAAAGGTCCACAGGTTCCACGACTACCGACAGCCAGTATTCGCGCTCCAGTGTGAGTTTCCGTTTGTAGTTTGTAGTCTAGGAATTTTTTACATATTTCGAATGAAAAAATCACGAAAAACGGATGAAAATGAACAAAAAAAATTTTTACTGAGGTTTAGAAGATTTTTGTAGTTTGTAGTCTTAAAAATTTCAGACGTCAAGAGCCACCGAAGCCAACACCACCACCACCGAAAAAGATCCAATCAAAGCCGGCAATGTGAGTTTATAGACTTTACCGAGGCCTAGAAGATTTTGTAGTTTGTAGTCTCTAAGCCTCAGTGAAAAAAAACGAAATCCTATTTTCAGCCCTTCCGATCCTCAACAATTTCGCCCCAAAATCTCTTCGATCTATCGACCACAGCCATCGTAAGCTTTTTACTGAGGCTTAGCAATTTTTGTAGTTTGCAGTCTTCTAATTTTCAGCAGAAGAACATTCCCGTCACTAATGTCGACTACTGCCCGTCCAGCTCCAGCAAAGCCAGAGTATGTTTTTTACTGAGGCTTAGGAATTATTGTAGTTTGTAGTCTCATCTGAAAAGTTGCGAAATTTTTAGAGAAAACTATTTAAAAAGAAGCAAGTTACGTCGACTCGAAGTTTTACTGAGGCTTGGAGACTACAAACTACAAAATGCTCTAAGCCTCAGTAAAACTTTAAATAGACTTTGTTTTTGTTCATTATTAGCTCAAAAATTTTCCTTTTTTTTTCTTTTTTGTAGTTTATAGTCTCTAAGCCTCAGTAAAATTGATTTCCAGCTCATCGAAACCAGCTGTCCAGATGTTCCACAGTCTATATCAAAAAATTCCGCCCATCACATCAACAAACCCACCGCACCGCCCGATTCTTGAACGGATAATGGCGAATCCTGTGTAAGACTACAAACTACAAAATTTTTCAGAAATTTCAGTCGAAAAATGGTGTTATACGATAATTTGGAGCCGAGATATGAAGATTTTTAGATTTGACTTTAAAGACTACAAACTACAATTTTTTTACAATGATATTTTGAATAAATCGAAGTTGTAGTTTGTAGTCTCTGTAGTTTTCAAAACCTAATAACTTGGCGAAATTTGTGTAGTTTGTAGTCTTTGTAGTCTTCAAAAAATCTATATTTCAGACCTGGACCATCGATTGTTGCACAATTGCGACCAACAGGAAATACTCGAGCACCAATGTTAGTTTGAAAACAAATGTTTACTGAGGCTTAGAGACTACAAACTACAAAATTATGTAAATCGTCTAATAATTTTTAGTCAAACAGCGCCACGTGGAACAGCGAACATTGAAATTCGAGAAGAATCGTCAGAATTTTTGGATTCATTGAATATGTTGGCATCAGAAGTCACAACGACTACGCTTCCAGAATCTTTAGAATCCCTGTTATCGGGAATTCTAGAAGATTTTTCACAAGATTGAATTTTTTTAAATGGAATTTTTTGATAAATTTTAATATTTAATTGCTTTATTTGTTATTGAAAGTTGTGAAATATGCGAAAAAAAAGTCCTTAAAGGTTGGGGGACAGGAGATTGTTCGTAGTTTTTTTGTAGCTAGAGTATGCATTCTACCGTGACGGTGTACAACGCTTAATGTCACTCTGCGTACAGCTGTCGTCCTCGCCTTTATGTATGCAATCGGGCGTGCGCTTTCTCTTTGCCCGTGTAGCTCAGTCGGTAGCGGCGCCGCACCCTCAATCATCGCCTTCACAAGTTCAACTCCTCGAGGGGCATCTTTGAACGGAATTTCGAGAACATTATTTTTTTCATTTCCCCCCACCTTTAAAAACGGTAAATTTTATTTTTTTGTTTTTTGGAATTTTTGAGGTTTTTATCGATTTTTCTGGTAATTTTATGTGAAAATCCGCATTTTTCACATCAATTAGTCCTAATTTTCATTGATTTTTTTCTATTTTTTGATCTTCTTTTGATCTCCCCCCAAAATTTCTTGTCATGTGCTATTAATGTTAATTTTCAGTTTTGTTAAATTTTCATGAAAATTTGCCGAGGGCTAGCGACTACAAACTACAAAAATTGATTGGCTTTTAAAAAATAATTTTCAATAATTCTAATTTTGGAAATTTCTGAAACTCTTCACTGAAAAATTCAGTTTTCAATAATTCGAAAAGTTCAATTTTTAAAAATTTTGAAAAATTTTTGAAAAATTGCGACAAATCGATTTTTTTCCATTTTTAAAGTAGAAAAATTGAAAAATTCACAAGAGAAATTCTTTTTTTTTTGTTCAACAAAATTAAAAATACAGTAACCGAAAAATAGAGATACAGTAATCCCATTTATCCAGCAGTGTTCTCCCGGGGGTCCTCTCTTTCCACACGCGTACATTCGTTGACTTGGCTCCTCGGTAACAATACACCAGTAATCATCCAGAAGGCCAGAAGACGTTGTCCAACTGGCGAATTTTCCCGGATTATTCCAGTAGCCAGGCGACAGCGCGATCAATTGCAGACAGTTTTGAGGACTGGAAAATCGAAATTTCCAAAAAAAATTCCCGAAATTTTGAGCCAAAAATCATTGAAAACGAGTGAAAATGAGCCGAGATCGAGGGCTTTGAAACTTTACTGAGGCTTAGAAAATTTTGTAGTTTGTAGTCTAAGCCTCAGTAAAACTCTCGGTTTTACCGAGGCTCAAAAGCGTTTCATAGTTTGTAGTTTCATAGTTTGTAGTCCCGTTAGCCTCAGTAAAACTCACACTCGTATCGCGAAAAATTTTACTGAGGCTTAGCGACTACGAACTACAAAAATCGTAAGCCTCAGTAAAAATTAAAAGCGCTGTAACTCAGCTAGTTTTTGATCGTTTTGAGCTGTTTTTAGCTGAAAAAGTATAAATTTTTGAAGTTTTGTAGTTTGTAGTGAGACTACAAACTATAAAACGATCCTAAGCCTCAGGAAACTTCAAAATGAAAAAAAAATCGAAAATTCAGACAATCGGAATTTCAAAACTCAAATTTTCTGTAGTTTATAGTCTCTAACCCTCAGTAAAAATAGCGCGATTACTTTTTACTGAGGCTTGGACTACAAACTACAAAATGATCCTAAGCCTCAGTAAAACTTGAAATCGCCGTAACTCGACTAGTTTTCGATCATTTTGAGTGGTTTTTAGCTCAAAAATTGCCAAAAAATCGAGTTTCAATTTTTTTTGTAGTTTGTGGTGAGACTACAAACTATAAAAAGATTCTAAGCCTCAGTGAAGAAATCAAAACTTGAAAAAATAAAATTTTGAAAAAAAGTGAAATTCGAATTTTAATTGTAGAATTAGCGCTATTACAATTTGCTGAGGCTTAGACCACAAACTATAAAAACGTTCTAAGCCTCAGTAAAAGTCTAATTTTTAATTTTGAAAGTTATTGAATTGGAATTTCTTTAAAAATAGTGTTTTATAAATTAGAAATTCGGAAAATCAAATTTCCAAAAAAAAAATAGTGCGACTACAAACTACGAATTGCTTCTAAGCCTCAGTAAAGTTTCAAAGAACTGTAACTCGGTTAGTTTTGAAGATTGAAGAGATATTTTTAGCTCGAATTTTTGGAAATTTCAGAGTCTTTCAGATGTTATCAAAGCTTCAATTTTTAAGTTTATCCTAGAACCTTAAAATTCAAATTTTTTCACTCCTTTTTTTCAAATTTCTGATATTTTTTTTCTAATTTTCCAAGACTACAAACTACACCGTACCCTCTGCCAGCAGTATTCTCATTATCCGGTTGTCCAGATCCAAAACGGAGTCCTTCAGTGCCTACAGTATGTCCATCTGTCCAATAGAAAGTGTTGGATTCGGAATTTCTTTGTGCTCCAAGCCACATTCCAGAATATTGAACGTTATAAGCGAGTGTCTGACGATTCGCCTCTTGAGCAAGAAGCCAACGTTCCCAATCGTTTTGAACTCCCGAGAGAACACCTCCGAAGGTGGCACATTGAGCAATCGCTCCGTTGTAATCCATCTTTCCGATTCCCACCTGAAAGTCTTTTTAGTTTTCATGATTTCAACTTATAGGATTGAAATTTTCCTTCATTTCAATCTAAAAATCATAAAATTTCAACGAAAATTCGTTGAGTTAAAATATGTCAGAGTTTTGGCTGCCACGAGAAGCGACGGGCGTTTTATTAGCTCTTTTTTGGGATTGGGAAGTTTGATATTTCAAAAAAATTTTATTTATTTTGCGGATTTTTAAATTTGCTACATTTTGAGCCAAAAATTTTAAAAATTGGTTAAAAGTTTTGAAAAAATTGAAAAAAATTTTTTTTTTGAAAAATCAGTATTTTTGAACTGCTGAAAACACTAGCTCAAACTTTATCGATTTGACTGTAATTTGCATAGTCTACTAAACAAATAAAAAGATTCATTTTTGTAGTTGACACTTTTTTCTGAAAATTAACTCCTGAGGAGATATTCCACGTGGAAGAAGGCATACCTAGCGGCGCGCTCACCGCAGAGAGGGAGTGGGCGCCTTAAAAGAAGGGGACTTCCACGTGGCATATCTCCTCAGGACTTGATTTTCAGCAAAAAGTGTCAACTACAAAAATAAATCTCTAGTTTTAATTAGCATATTCCGTAATTTTCAAACAAATTCGAAAAATATGAGCCTGATTGTTATATAGACAAAAATGTAAATTCTGACCAAATTGAAAATTTTAGACCTATTTTGGGAAAATTAGCATATCTCCTCAAGACTCGATTTTCAGAAAAAGACCGTTAACTACAAAAAGGAAGCTCATGGCTTGTTTAGTATATTTTGAAAATTTCAGACAAATAGAAAAAGTCTGAAATCCTCTTGTAGGCATTTCAAGAACTCACTCTCAAACACCAAATTCCCTGTGGCCTATAGGAAGTGAACCATCCCTGTCCACACTTTGGACGATTCGCATTATCGGGACCACCAGGTACTGGCGGTCTTGATGGCGGTCGAGGCGATCGTGGTCCATGATTTCCGTGTCCTCCGTGTTCTTCAGAAGAATCGCATGAGGAATCATCTCCGAAGTCTCGGGCTACTGTAGAAATGAGAAGAGAGAGGAATAGAGAGATTCCGAGAAGGTTGAGAAATCCCATGGTTCTGAAAATTGGGAATTTTTAAGATAAGCAAAATTATGGTCCATAAGATGTACAAAAAACGGATTTTTCACTTGATTTTCAGCCATTTTCAGGAGTCTAGAGCTCGATTTTCAAACTTCTGATCACTTTGAAACTTTTGGAGGATGTAAAACAGACCTATATTGAAAATGTGGCATTCATAGAATTTCTGGAAATTCCCTAGTTTTTTGATGTTTGCTTTCAATCTAGATCTGTTTTTTTTAAATGAATTTCAGCTTTTTTTGGCTGAAAATCGAAGATTTCTCAAAAAGTTTTCTGTTATTCTTACTTGGCTCACTGAGAGCGTGAAAATGAGCCCCAACACGACTAGGCTCCGCCCACTTCGAAGTTTTCCCAAAGTCACACGACCCGGAGTAAGAAAAGTGGTCGGAACTTAGTCCTGTTGGGGCTCCTTTTGAAGCTCGTGATCTCAGAATGTAATAGGAATTGATTTTTGGGAGAAATGTTCAAAATATAGCGATTTGTGGTCATTTTGAATGTTATTTTCTAGCCAAATTGTCTTTTTTAAATTTATTTTTAGGTTCTTCGGAATTTCAGATTGTTTCAAGTTCATTGAAAACCACATTTTCGAACTCATCTCGTTTCCAGCGTCAAAATGAGCCTAAACATGACTAGGCTCCACCCACATTGAAATTCCCCGAGACACGCGACGCACGACCGCGACGCGCGCCGGAAAGACAAAAGTGGTCGGAACCTAGTCATGTTGGGGGTTATTTTGAAGCTCGTACTCTCAGAAAGTGTTTGGAATTGGTTTTAGAAAGAAATCATCGAAATATAGGGATTTGTGGTCATTTTAAATGTTTTGAAAAGATTTATCCAGTCAAAAAACGTTATTTTCTGCCAAATTTCAGCCAAAATATTCTGACAAAGAGCATTTAAAATATGGAATTTTTAGCGAAACAAGAGAAATTTCTAATTAAAGAAAATTTCTGCGAAACTTCTTCCAAGTTTTCCATTTTTATACCTTGTTTTCTTCAATTTTTGACCTCCTCGCTCCGATTTTTTGGAAAACTTTTTGATCGTTTTGTTCCGCTGATCATCAAAAAAACGCTAAAATTTTAGCACGGAATCGTTCGTTGCCTACAAACTACGAAGCTTTTTTGCGGAAGGTGCAAAATAGGGTCATAAATTCGTGAACTTCTGGAAATTTGGCTGAAAAACTTAGTTCTGAAAATTTAAGATAGACATTCTTAGTTTCAAAAAATTCAAAATTTTCAGAGGATTTCGGAAATATATAAATTATAAAATTTGCACCAGAATGAGCCAAGTTATGGAGTTTTGAACAATTTTTTAAAGCGATTTTTGAAATTTTCAGAAATTTCGAGTTTTTTGAATTTCAAATTCTCAGGATTTTGAGATTTTTATGTTCTGAAATTTTTGGGGAAAATGAGAATTTTCATTACTTTTTAAAATTTTAGGATTTTTAAAACTTTACTGGAATATCAGAATTTTTAGGAAATTATTTTTTAAAAAACCTAAGATTTTTAGGATTTTCAGATTTTGGACCATAATTTTCTCAAAAAAGGGGGCGGAGTTTTAAAAAGAAAACTAGAAAATTAGAAATTTCACTGAAATCTCAAAATCAGTATTTGAAAAAATTTAAAATTCAAAAAAAAAGAAAAGTGAGATTTTTTGGAAATTTAATTGTTGAAAAAGAAAATTCTTTCAAAAAATAAATAATTTAAAAACTAGAAAAATTTTAAAAATTTCGAAAATTAAAAAAAAATTAATTAGGTAATTATAATAAAATCATGATCTCTAAAATTCGACAAAATACCTAGAATACAGCTGAAAATTGCTTCAAATATTCAAAAAAAAAATTTACAATCCTAAATTTCAAAAATATCCTAATTTAATAAATAATCATAATCTCCACAATTAGGATTCTTTCGATATCTCCATCTAGGTGAACACACAAAACTGTTATTGGTCCATAAATTAACACCAATCGGGTGGATTTCAAAAAATCCAATTTCCAAAATTATAAAAATTAGAATTCCAGATGAGAAAATGAAGAATAGGGTTGTGAAGATAATTTCTGGAACGGTCCAATCGATAGGGTATTCTCTTTCCTCGGTTCTTGCGTAGGCGTTGATTCCTCCCTCCTCGAATTTCAATGTGTGAACCGTGTTGGGCATTTCTGCAATTTCTAGAAAGGATTCTCAGTTTTCTACAGTTGGAAACAATCAATTTTTGAATTTCATGGTTTTAGAAATTGCAAAATTGAAAGAATTCGAAAAATCTGCACTCTAATAGAACGCGACCCTCACCGTCCACTTTGAGCCTATATATCTCATTTTCTGTGAGAGATATCAAAAAATGGTCAACTGATAAAATGTTGCTGATATCGTGATAAACATTTCATTAGTTGACAACTTTTTAATATCTCTCAGAAGAAGTGAGATACATACGCTTAAAAAAACTGCCTCCCTCTCCCTCCTTACCTCTCCCCCTCAGGAGGTCCGATTACTTTGAGCCATATTATCTCATTTTCTGTAAAAGATATCAAAAAGTTGTCAACTGATAAAATGTTTATCGTGGTATCAGCAATATTTCACAACTTGATTACTTTTTGATATCTCTCACAGAAAATGAGATAATTAGGCTCAAAGTAAGTGAACCTCCAGAGTGGTGAGAGGAAAAGGGGGGGGGGGGGCGCCTATCTCTAAAAGCCTATATATCTCATTTCTTTCAAAAGATATCAAAAAGTTGTTAACTAATAAAATGTTTATCATGATATCAGCATCATTTTATCAGTTGACCACTTTTTGATATCTCTTACAGAAAATGAGATACATGGGATCATTCGGATGGCGTTATATTAGAGTGTTTATGGTATTAAAAAAATTACCTTCTTTTTTCAGATTCCAAATTTTTTGTAGGTTCCAGATTATCTACTTCAAAATAGTAAGAAAATTTCGGCCTAAAGTCAATTTACTATACTAAAACAAGTGAGCAATTCCATATTTTCAAAAATTTTCAAAACATTCTTCTCTCTTCTTCCGTTTAAATTTTTCACTAATTAGTCTCCTCGAAATTCTTCCTCTTCTCTCCAAAAACAATAATTATTCATTTATTTTGTTTTGACCCATTTTCCCCTATTTTTCGGGACCAAAAAGTCATAGATCTCCAATTTTAAGGTATGTCTGAAAATTGTCTGAAAATCTGAAATTTTTAAAGTAGGCCTTGATTATACTCATTTTGAAGCCCAACACGAGCTGAGTTTGAATATTTAACTTTTGTTAAAATTTGAATTATCTGAAAATAGCACAGACTGAAAATCATTGAAAAAAAAAGTTTTTTTGAAAAAAAAAAAGGTTTTTTCGAAAATGTTTCTGCACGAACCCAACGAAACCTAGTTTATTGAATTCATTTTGGCGCCAGTTTCAAAATGAGTATAACCATGACCATATTTGTCGAATTTCTAATTTTCAAGTTTTAAAGGCGCACGGACCACCCGAAAATTCGACTAATTTCAAAATAAGGCTCGTTTATACTCATTTTTAAGCTCAAAAGAAGCTGAGTTTGAATATCTAACTTTTAAAAAACTTGGATTAATCTGAAATTTTAAAAAAAACAGAAAAAAAAATTTGAAAAAAAAAATTTAAAATGATCATAAATCCCTGAATTTTGATTATTTCTCCCTAAAAACTGTTTTAAACACATTCTGAGATTACTAGCTTCAAAATGAGCCCCAACATGACTATGCTCCGCCCATTTTGAAATTTCCCCGCGAGACACGCGACGCACGACCGCGACGCACCAGAAAAACAAAAGTTGGCGGAGCCTAGTCGTGTTTGAGATCATTTTGAAGCTCAAAACGAGCTGAATTCAAAAATTGAGATTTTGAAAAAATTGGAACAGTCTGAAATTCAAAAAAAAGCTGAAAATCAAAAAAAACTCCATGAAAATCCTTTTTTCAAAAAATATGCCTTGTTTATACTCATTTTGAAGTTCAAGACGATCTGATTTGGAAAATTTAACAAAATCAAATAAAAAATCAACATTTAATAAAAAATTTATTGAAATAATAATCAGAAGGCTGGCATAGATTTGAGTCCTTTGGATTCGGATGAATTGGGCATTGGAACGGATCTCGGTGACTGAGCTGAATAAAAAATTTTGGGTACTACAAAAACTACAAACTACAATTAGATAATTTTAGATAATTTAAAATTCAAAAATTCAAAAAAGAATTTTTTTGAAATTTTTTAAATTATTTTTTTCTCCAAATTGCTCAGTTTTGGACACAAAAAAGACACATCTAATCTCATATTTTGTAGTTTGTAGTTTTTGTAGTCTTACTATCAACCGCAGGTGTATGTGGCACCGGGGATACTGAAGGCTTTGGAGTTGCCATTGGTCCAACTGGACAACTTTTCGCACTTTTCGGAATTTTTGCTCTACAATTTTCAAAAATTGGATTACTGTAGTTTTGTTTTTTTTTTTTGGCTTACTGTAGACTCTTGGCTTGTTGAGGGCCTTGTGAAGAGGGGAGAGCAGCGCCTTTTGGCTCGGATTTCTGTAAAAAATAACATAGAAAATTGAAAAGTTGTAAAAATTTATCTGCCAAATGGTCCCGAGTCCATAGCAAACCTCTTAAAAACAAGCAAAAACAAAAAGTTTCTTGGGGGGATTCGAACCAAAGAGTGTCCGCTCTAAAACCAACGCGCTGCCGCCTACACCACGGCCTGCAAACGGAGGAGATGGTGCGGAGGGCAAATAAGAAAGGGGTGGGTGGTGGCGCCAGGGGGCTTGCCGAGCAAAAAATTTCCAAAAAAAAAATTTTTTTCACATTTTCAAAATTTTAAAAAATTCAAAAAATCAGAAAATTCGAATTACCGCCGATCTCTGTGTAGACTTTACATCTCCATCTTCTTCAACAAATGCCTGTGGAATCTTTTTCATTTCTTGTTCCTTTTTCTTTTCCAATTTCTTCTGCTTCTTGGATTTTTTACTTTTTTTGGATTTTTTCGAAACTTTCTGAGACGCCTCCATCGATTTTTTATTCATTTTCTTTTTCGATTTTTTCGTTTTTTTCGATTCTTCTTTTTTCTTTTTCTCCTCCAGTGCCGTTCGTGTGCTACTAGGGATGGCTTCTGATTCGGGAGCCTACAAATACTACAAACTACATAATTCAAATTTTCTAAAAATTGAAATTCCCAAAAACAAATCCTCACCGCTCTCATCGAATTGGTCAGCGATCTCACATTACATTTTTCGTTCTTTTTCTTGATTGGATTTGTGCAGAAACTTATGATGAATATTGTACCCTGAAAAAATTACTGTAGTTTGTAGTTTGTAGCATAAAAAAACATTCTTAAAAAATTTGACAAATTTTAAGCCAAAAACGAGTGTTCTACGATGATTTTGAGCCTAGTTATGAGAGAAAATGATTTTTACTGAGGCTTAGGATTTTTGTAGTTTGTAGTCAACGTTTTAAAAACCCTCTTACTTGGCTCAAAATCATCGTAGAAAGCTCTTTTTTTTAAACCAAAATCTGTTTTGTAGTTTGTAGTCTTATTGGATTTCTTTTTTTTTGCTGAGGCTTAGACTATAAACTACAAGAAATTGTAGGCCTCAGTAAATAATAAACACGTTCTAGTTTAAAGTCTACAAAATCATGCAAATTGTTTGAAACATTTTGAGCCTAAAATAAAGTTTCTACGATCATTTTGAGCCAAGTTATGAGGTTTTAAAAATGTTGACTACAAACTACAAAAAATCCTAAGCCTCAGTAAAAATCATTTTATCTTATAACTAGGCTCAAAATCAGCGTAGAAACCTCATTTTTAGCTCAAAATGTGTCAAATTTTTTGAAGTTTGTAGTCTTTGTAGTCTCCCCTACCGTAATCATGGTGAACGTGTTGAGGATAAAGAGAAAATCGATAAAAAGCATCATGTTCGTTTCATTCGGCCAGACAAAAAAGTTTCACAAGAAAATGGTGGAATTAAAGTTTTTTGCGAAAATCGATTATCGATTTTTTCTTCAAAATTTGACTCTTTTTGAGATTGTCGTCAGAGCAATGTGGAAACTTTGAAATTTCTGAAAAAACTTTAATTTGAAAATTTTTTGAAATTGTTCAAAAAAAAATGAACATTCAACCGGGACAACAACCACTCAAATCGTTGATATCAGCTGAATCCGACGACGTGACGTCTTCTGAGAATTCTGAAAATGAAAATTCTCAGAAAAAGTTGGTGGTCCGCGCCAGAGCCGGACGAATGAGACGTGGCGGACCGATGCCGGTGGCTCGTGCCGAGCCAATTTGTGTGCCAAATCAAGTGGCAGCAATGCCAATTGTGATGACGGTGAGAAACTACAAACTACAAAAAATTTGAGAAGTTTTGAGCCAAAACGAGCTTTCTACGATAATTTTGAGCCGAGTTATGCGAGTTTTGAGATTTTAACTACAAACTACAAAATCCTAAGCCTCGGTAAAAGTTTTTTTTCATTTTTTTCTCACGGAATTTGAAGGTTCAAACAACAAAAGCTACAAACTACACTAAAAGAAAAAATTCAGTTTTACTGAGGCTTAGGATTTTTGTAGTTTGTAGTCCAAATCTTAAAACTCCAATAACTTGGGTCAAAATCGTCGTAGAAAGCCCGTTTTTAGACCGAAATTTGTCAATTTCTTTGTATTTTTTCATTTGATTCGAATACTTCAAAAATATAAATTCCAGGGCTTCGTAAGCCTGGTCCCTCACACCGTACTCGATGCGATTGCACTGACCAACTGTCTGATGGTTGTTCAGTGTACAGAACCATTGGAAATTTTCACTGGCATCGAGACGCCAAATCGATACGTCGTCCATGATATGTATCTTCGTCCGATGCTGTTTTGCAATGAAAGATCGAATTTTATCTCCCGCGAGTGTTGTGGATCGGGAAGAAATTTCAGTATGGATATTCGAGATGTTTTTGGCGCGGAGCTTATGAGATGTTATAGGTGGGAATTTGAAATTTTAAGAAAATTGGGAATTTCTTGAGAAAAAAAAGTTCCTTTATCGATTTTTTGGCGACTCGTTGGGCGCCGCCAGCCGCCACCACCCTCCACCTTCTTATACGCACTCCACCTTCTACCTTCTTTGTGCGCGCTGTGGTGTAGGCGGTGATGCGTGCGTTTTGAAGCGGACACTTTGGGGTTCGAACCCCCCTGGAAGTTTTAGTTTTTTTTACTTTTTTGAAGCGTTGTTATGGACTTGGGGTCATTAAAATCTAGTTTTTCAGAGATAACCCATGCTTCTCGTGTACGGACTACTTGGGAACGCAATTTCAGGGACAACAAATTGGACTGATGAAACGAGAGTGTTGTGACGGACATGTTAGTTTCTTTTTTTTTTTTTGAAAACTGGTTTGGCGGGAAATTCAAAATTTTGGAATTTCTCACTCTTCTCTAATAGGAACTACAAACAATTTGACAAATTTTGAGCCACAAATGAGCGTTCTACGACGATTTTGAGCCGAGTTATGAGATTTTCAAGATTTAGACTACAAACTACAAAAAAAGCCTAAGCCTCAGTAAAAATCATTTTCTCTCATAACTTTGCTCAAAATCATCGTAGAACACTCGTTTTTGGCTTAAAACTTGTCAAAATGTTTGTAGTTTGTAGTTTGTAATCTCTATACTTTAAGTTCAACCTCCTCGGCGCCGGATGCAACCAACCGTTGCTCATCATGTCTCCATGCTGTGCCAGTTGTGGTGGAACTAAAATTTTCCCAGTTTGCACGTATACCGGAGTCAAAATTGGAGAAATTGTTCGTCTGTATCCTGGGTTCCTTCAGGAGCACTTAACCGATGCGGACACTTATTTGGTTCATTGTAAGAAATTTTTAAAATTTTCGAAAAATATTTTTTTTTTTGAAAAATTATTTTTTGCAATTTTAAAGTTTTTTAGTATCACAACTTTAGTGATATGGTTTTTTTAGGATCATCAAAATGTTTTCCGAAAAAATCAATTATCGATTTTTTGCAGTTCCGGTTGACTTGCCACCCATTCTAAAATTATTGCTCATCTCGTCGGTCTTCCTCATCGATTTCACATTTTTCGAGGACGACAATTGAGTGAACTCTCAAATTGTTCTTTTTTTTTCTGGAATTGTTTTCTAGAAATTTCTAGAAAAAGCGTCTGAAAATGAACGATTTGAATGAATTTTTTAACATCTCAACAACAAGTACAAACTACAAGAAGAGGGAAATTGGGGCTTTCATAAAACATCGTATTTTAGGCCATAGTTTTGTACAAACAAGGATTCGAGCCTGAAGTTTTGGGCCATAGCTCAAAAAATTTTTTCTTATTTATTTTTTTTTTTTGCGATTCAAAGAGAGAATAGAAATGTGTACAGTTTTATAACTTAAAGGTGGGGGGACAGGAGATTTTTCGTAGTTTTTTTGTAGCTAGAGTATGCATTCTACCGTGACGGTGTACAACGCTTAATGTCACTCTCCGTACAGCTGTCGTCCTCGCCTTTATGTATGCAATCGGGCGTGCGCTTTCTCTTCGCCCGCGTGGCTCAGTCGGTAGCGGCGCCGCACCCTCAATCATCGCCTTCACAAGTTCAACTCCTCGAGGGGCATCTTTTGAACGAAATTTCGAGAACATTATTTTTTTCATGTCCCCCCCACCTTTAAGCAAAAAATGTATATGGTTTTCTACAATTTCGATTTGTCCATCATTGGCTTTAAGTACTGAGTAACTGATGGAAGTACATCTGTCTTGTTCAATGGAGACGATTTTGCCCATTTGAAGAGATTCTCATAGACATTTCCATCGCGACGACCGAGGACCTGGAAATTTAAAGACGCATAACTTGGCTCAAACTTTATGTTTTAGGAAAATTCAAAAAGGAAAATGTAGAACTTGGAAAGAGCTTTGAAAAGATATATAAAAATTGCCCAGTTTTGAATAAACGGGGTACTCGAGACTGCTGGAAAAAGTTCAACATTTTTTAACTGCTTATAACTTTTTCTGAAAATTGATCTTTTTCGTAAATGTTTTTTTAGAAATGTGTAGATCATAAAAAGAGCTACAAGGCCATATAACATACGGCTAGATTGATTGCTTTTCTGATGCTAAAAAATTGAGTAATTTCAAATTGCCGTAATTCAGATGCCTAGCAATGGTGCGATAGTTATGACTAGGTTCAAATTGCCGCCATCCGAAACCGAAAACATAAGACCTAGTCATATTTTATATCATTTTGTAGCCATTTTCATTTATTATCTTTTCCAATCGGAATTATTCAAAAATTTTGAATTTGAAGCCAGTTACCGATCTCAACTGCATATCACTGATTTGGAATGAGTCGACGAGAGAGACAGCGTTGGGACGGATTGTCTCAAGAGACACATACAACTGATTCCTTATCAAGTCCATTTGATTCGATGACAGTAATCCCTGGACATATATTCCAATGTCCATGACTTCATATGTTACATGTACATTCAATAAATCAATCAATACGCCCTTCACTTTTTGATCTACTATTGATCCTACATGATTGATGAAAGTGGACATTATGTAGAGACGAGTGTGCAGGCGACTGGCCTAAAATATGTTAGATTATAGCTTCTAGAACTTTCCAGACTCCTCAAACTCACCCTAGTCATCTCTACAGCACAATTATTCCAGGCTACATCTTTGGATTCTCCCTTTTCAATCAATTTTTGATACTTTTCCGTAGCTCTCCATGTCTGATTCCTTGCTGCATATTCGAACACTTTCAGATACTCATTTGGTCTCAAATTTAGATCAATTTCTGATTCCTTTTCAGCTAGATACGCCACCATTGGTCCCAATTCCCTTGATTTTCCATTTTGAATCATTTCAATCGATTTGACAAGATATCTTGCCAACTGGAGAAGCATCACCATATTCTCCCCTTCATACGTACATCCGGCGATTGCGACTCCATAGATCTCAGAGATGTAGCTGGCCTGAAAGTTAGATTTTTAGAAGCTAATGGTTTGAAAACATCAGGATATTGATTTTGGGGCCAAAAAACATTGTAAAAATAAGGTAGACCAACGGAGGTACCTTCCGACATAAGAGTATATCTTGCTTCGTATTCAAGATAGAGTTTAGATTTTTATATAATTCAACTCAGCGGAAAATTTCGCACATTTTGATATGTATTTCAAATTACATTCCCCGTTCCACGTCATCAAACTAACCATAGAATAACCATGCCCTCCACATGCCATTCTCGCCTGTTCAATGCCCTCTCCAGTCTGATAAGTGACCACTGATTTCAATCCAGAAGTCAATGCATGTAGATCAGCCATTCCAGATGTATTCCCATTTTGAACATCAATCAATAATTGATCATATAATCGAATTGTTTCAAATCCACAGAAGATGAAGGCGTAGGCGCGAGCGATTGATGGGAATAGACGGTGTTGTTGGGTTTGGTAATCCAGCACTTTCACTTCACGGCTTCTGGAGGTTTGAGGAAGGTAGAAAGTGTTTAGTTTGGTCCAATTAAGCTTTGAATACATTTTGAGAACTGGAAGTGAATTTCTAGATAGCAGGGTTTACGAGATACCAAGTAGTTCAGTAAGCAAACCCTGCTACCTATAGAAATTAATTCCAATTAAAAAACCATTTCCACTCACTTGTCCTCCAAGTACCCTTGTCTCCTCACTGCCGAATATCTCACTGCTATCACCAATGCATGAGCCAACAGTGCTCCCTGCCCTGTCGCCATGTGACTCCTAACCCGAATCATTGCTGAATGATTGATCTTTGCATGTGGTGGTTTCACATATCTCCCGTCTGCCTCCACTTTTGCATGGCGATTCAGAAGATATTCACGTGGAATACGGTAGTTTCTGAATCCCAAAAACCCATTGTCTCCTCCATTAAACGCCATTTTGGAGCCGATATCTCCTACAGTAATCCCTGGAAGTGGTTCATGAGAGTCTTCATCTCTCAACTGGACCATGAATGGATGTGGTCCATAGTTCTTATCACGAATGGTTAGATTGGCCACCACAACTGCCCAATTTGCACTTTTTCCAAGTGCTCCAGGCCACCATTTCAAGGAAGTTATTGTTGGAGAATGTAGAATGAATTCTTGGGTTTCTGGGGAGTATGTAGCTGTGGTTTCCAGGGCTCGGAGGTTTGATCCTATAAATGTTTTAATGAAAGTGCTCTGAAAATGTCGTACATCATCTCAAATTACTCTGTATTACATAAAAACCTACTTACGATGATTCAAAAAGACCTAAAAAGAGAAAAAAACCCACGTGGGGGCCGAACCCTTGACGGCCAGATCCGAATGCAAAAACGCATCCACTGCGCTATGGAGACGCAATGATAAAAGGAGCGGTGGAAAGCAGTTATAAGAAAGGAGGAAATGGTTACGAGAGAGTGAGAGCGCGCAGACAAATAGACGATCTAGCTTCTCTAGCTTCTTGGGATCCCAAACTTTGAACTCTTGTATCTCGAAAAATAGTAAAGCTAGAAAAAAAGTGTAAACTACAAAAACATAGGAAATTTTAAGAGAAACAAAATGTAACTTGATAACTTTTAGCTTGCTGTTTTAGTTTTTGAGATAAATCACTTTGAAATCAGTTGAGGCACATCCAGGTTTCAACCACTATACTATCCTAATGGTACTAGCTATCAAAAAATTTAAAACTAACAAAATGTATAAAATTTTGAGCGCTGTATTTTACTAGTTGACATTTCTCTTCTATCTCAACTGGTTCTCTAGATATGATTAGATTTCCTCACCATGTCCCATTTCCGTCTGCGCATAGCACCCTATAATCTCTCTCCGTCTAGCTCTTCCCAACCATTTCACCTGTTGCTCATCGCTAGCCTGAGCAATAAGTGCTGGAATGAACATGACTTCGTGAAGTGCCAATGGATGCCCTTCCATACCCATAACCTCTCTGGAAATCTATTATTTGGAGCCTGGAAAGGGAAGGAGAGCTCACGTATAAAGATGAAGACCTTCTTCATAGCTACTCGGATCAATCAGCTTATCAATATTCTCCAGAATCACTGATAGCTTTCTAGATCCTTCTGTTACTTTCCCAAAACGATCTAGGAAAGGGAGAGGTGCCGAATCAGCGAGTTCAGGGATTTTCGAAATTGCTTCAGAGATTTCTCGACGGCGTTGGGCGAACTGAAACAAGGTCATTTTAAAATTGGGAAACTAATTACACTAATTAAGTCCTTAATTACCTTGTCACTTCCATAAATCACCGCAGCCATTGCATTTGTATCAAATGTTCCAGAAGCTCTCTCCTCGGTGAGATCCGGATTGTCTCCAGGTTCAATTGACTTGTTTAAAGCAGTCATTTTTTGAAAACAGACAAACAGAAATGGTCTAAATGAGCGTTATACAGCTTTTAACCAAACACAGTTGGTCTACTGATAAGACTATAGTATAGACAGATAGAAGAACTGATATGAAGAGGGAAACAAAAAAATGTGTACAGTTTTATAACTTAAACAAAACATATATAGTTTTCTAGAGCTTCGATTTGTCCATCATTGGTTTTAAGTACTGAGTAACTGATGGAAGTACGTCTGTCTTGTTCAATGGAGACGATTTTGCCCATTTGAAGAGATTCTCATAGACATTTCCATCTCGACGACCGAGGACCTGCAAATTCAAGGGCTCGTGTTTTGGTTTCTAATTGACTTTTTAGAAAAATTCAAATTGGAAAGGATAGGACTCTAAAAGAGCTACAAAATCATATTAAATTTGTCTAATCTTCAAGGTAACGACTGTGAATTTAGACGTCCTTTAAAGGTGGGGACAGGAGATTTTACGGGGGATTTTTGGGGCCAGAGTATGCATTCTACCGTGACGGTGTACAACGCTTAATGTCACTCTGCGTACAGCTGTCGCCCTCGCCTTTATGTATGCAATCGGGCGTTCGCTTTCTCTTTGCCCGCGTGGCTCAGTCGGTAGCGGCGCCGCACCCTCAATCATCGCCTTCACGAGTTCAACTCCTCGAGAGGCATATTTAAACGAAATTTCGAGAACATTATTTTTTTTCATGTCCCCCTTTAAGATATATCTTGTTCAAACGCTTATAACTTCCTTCAAAACTAACATTTCTAGATAAAAATTGTTTCAATATGTAGGTTTTGAAACGAGCTACACATTGATATTATTGCCATGTTTTCGCATTTGAGGGGTCCCGAAGGCACCATGCGAAACATGGCTACCAAGCTCTTGTATGTTTGAGGGCCCATAATATAGGTCTTTAAGAGCATTTTTAAGTGGCATTTTGTGGAAAATGTAGGATTTGAATGGGGCTTCAAAATTGTAAAAAATTTCTCTAGCTTCGAAAATTTGGGATTTAATAGAGGTGCCATCAAACAGGTGGGATACCTGACGATGGTACTAGTAGGCATGACCGATTTTGAACAACCACCATTTAATAACGAAAACATAAAAACTAGTTGTGTTTTATATCATTTTGTAGCCCTTTTCATTTTTTATCTTTTCCCGTTCAACCCATTTAGAAATATTAGCTTTTCATCCAGCTACACTTTCCCACAAATCACTAACCGATCTCAACTGCATATCACTGATTTGGAATGAGTCGACAAGAGAGACAGCGTTGGGACGGATTGTCTCAAGAGACACATACAACTGATTCCTTATCAAGTCCATTTGATTCGATGACAGTAATCCCTGGACATATATTCCAATGTCCATGACTTCATATGTTACATGTACATTCAATAAATCAATCAATACGCCCTTCACTTTTTGATCTACTATTGATCCTACATGATTGATGAAAGTGGACATTATGTAGAGACGAGTGTGCAGGCGACTGGCCTGGAAATGTATTATTAGTCATTTGCTTTTATTTTTTTTTATGATCCAGGTGTATTTCTGAAAAGCGCACGTATTTGTCCAAATGGTGTTCTTATCAGGGAAAAGATAAAAAATTTGAAAATCAAGAACTTTCTGTGATTGGCACCTAAATGGGACAATTCTTCTAGGAAATGCGGTGAACAACAGAAGAAACTCACCCTAGTCAATTCCACGGATGCTTGATTCCACGCCTTCTCATTGCTCATCCCAGAATTCCTCAACTTCTGGAACTTTTCCGTAGCTCTCCATGTCTGATTCCTTGCTGCATATTCGAACACTTTCAGATACTCATTTGGTCCCAAATTTAGATCAATTTCTGATTCCTTTTCAGCTAGATACGCCACCATTGGTCCCAATTCCCTTGATTTTCCATTTTGAATCATTTCAATCGATTTGACAAGATATCTTGCCAACTGGAGAAGCATCACCATATTCTCCCCTTCATACGTACATCCGGCGATTGCTACACCGTAGTATTCAGAAATGTAGCTGGCCTGAAAGTTAGATTTTTAGAAGCTGATGGTTTGAAAACATCAGGATATTGATTTTGGGGCCAAAAAACATTGTAAAAATAAGGTAGACCAACGGAGGTACCTTCCGACATAAGAGTATAGTATTCAAGCTAGAGTTTAGATTTTTATATAATTCAACTCAGCGGAAAATTAGCCTACTGTACATCCCTCCTCGCCACTACACCACTGCTCGCTGTTTGTTTCCCTTCCCCCAATCTATATATGAAAGAGGGGAGGCGCGGCGCCCTTAAGAGTCAAATTTGAGCCAAATTTGAAACTTGATTTTCTCGAAACTGGTAGCTCCTCAGCAAAATCTGAATACAGATTTGCAAATGTCTCATCCTCAGCTTTCAAATGATATAAGTTTCACACCAAAGTTCCACCCCCCCCCCGTAGTCAGCGGAAAATTTCGCACATTTTGATATGTATTTCAAATTACATTCCCCGTTCCACGTCATCAAACTAACCATAGAATAACCATGCCCTCCACATGCCATTCTCGCCTGTTCAATGCCCTCTCCAGTCTGATAAGTGACCACTGATTTCAATCCAGAAGTCAATGCATGTAGATCAGCCATTCCAGATGTATTCCCATTTTGAACATCAATCAATAATTGATCATATAATCGAATTGTTTCAAATCCACAGAAGATGAAGGCGTAGGCGCGAGCGATTGATGGGAATAGACGGTGTTGTTGGGTTTGGTAATCCAGCACTTTCACTTCACGGCTTCTGGAGGTTTGTAGGATTGCGATAGGTGGTAGAGCTTTAGGACCAAATTTATATCTAGCAGGGTTCGCGAGATACCGCGTAGCTAACTTTTGGAACCAAAAATTTCGAGCTTCTATATCTCACCAACGCTGCCACCTAGAAAGACACTTTCAACTAAAGAATTATATAAAATGTCAAGAACTTTCATTACCACTCACTTATCCTCCAAGTACCCTTGTCTCCTCACTGCCGAATATCTCACTGCTATCACCAATGCAGACGCCAAGAACAGTCCCTGATCCATAGCCATTCGACTTCTCACTTTAACCATACTCGAGTACCCAATTTTAGCATGCGGTGGTTTGATATAACTCCCATCTGATGTCACTTTACTATGCCTCATTAGCATATTCTCTCTTGGAATACGGTAGTTTTTGAATCCAAGAAATCCATTATCAGCTCCATTAAAAGCCATTTTTGGTCCAATATCTCCTACAGTAATCCCTGGAAGAGGTTCATGTGATTTCTCATCTCTCAATTGGACCATAAAGGGATGTGGACCATAGTTGTGTTCTTTGATAATAAGATTAGCAATCACAATTGACCAATTTGCACTTTTTCCAAGTGCTCCAGGCCACCATTTCAGAGAAGTTATTGTTGGAGAATTCAGGATGAATTCTCGGGTAGAAATGTCAAATGTAGCTGTGGTTTCCAGTGCTCGAAGGTTGGTGCCTAGAAGATACGCATAACAGATTAACTATATCTCAAAAACTAGCGTAGCTAGAAAGTTTTGTCAACTAACAAAATAAGTAAAATCTCAAGTTCTACATTTTATTAATTGTCATTTCCTTTTTATATCAACTGATTCTCTATTTAAACCTAGATTCCCGTACCATGCCCCATTTCCGTCTGCGCATAGCACCCAATGATCTCTCTCCGTTGAGCTCTTCCCAACCATTTTTCCTGTTGCTCATCGCTAGCCTGAGCAATCAGACTTGGTATAAACATGGTCTCGTGTAGAGCCAATGGGTGTCCCTCCAGACCAAGAACTTCTCTGGAAATAAATTAAATCAAGAGATTCCAGAACATTCTTCTCTCTTAAACCAACCTATACAAATGAAGCGCCTCTTCCTCATCGCTTGTATCAATTAGGGAATTCCAATAATTGCTCAGGACCGCTAATTTCCGGCATGCCTCGCTTATTTTCTCCTCTCGACTCATAAAAACCAATGGGTGGGAGTCTTGAAATTCGGGGATCTTTGAAATGGCTTCTGTAATTTCCCGACGACGTTGGGCGAACTGGAAAAAAGTCATTACCCTAATTAAGTCCTAATTAATTACCTTTTCACTTCCATAAATGACCGCAGCCATTGCGTTTGTGTCGAATGTTCCAGAAGCTCTCTCATTGGTAAGATCCGGGTTTTCAGACATTTTTAGGTAAAAAAAGGAATTGAGGTTTTCTAGCAAAAGTGCTATATTTATTTGTGTCCTTGTAACTTATAACACATGAAAATTTCTTATCAGTTGGGAAAATGTTGCCAAATTCTTATCGGCAACATTTGTTGTGTTGACAAAAGAAACAGAAAATTCAAAATTCAAAAACTACAATTTCGATTTGTCCATCATTGGCTTCAGGTACTGAGTAACTGATGGAAGTACATCTGTCTGGTTCAATGGAGACGATTTTGCCCATTTGAAGAGATTCTCATAGACATTTCCATCGCGACGACCGAGGACCTGGAAATTTAAAGACGCATAACTTGGCTCAAACTTTATGTTTTAGGAAAATTCAAAAATGAAAATGTAGAACTTGAAAATAGCTACAAAATGGTATAACATTTGTCTAGTTTTGAATTTTCGGGGGTCCATACAAAGATCGTTAACATAGGGTACTCTGAGAGAGACTGCCTGAAAATACTAAACATTTTTTTAATGCTCATAACTTTCTTGCAAATCAACGTTTTGCAAAAATTTAAATAGAAAAATATAGAACTTGAATAGAGGCTTCAAAATAATATAAAATATGTTTAGTTTCAAAATTCCGGGGTTATAGTTAGGCGTTGTTAAAGTTACTTCTTATTTAAACGCTCATAACAAAAATACGACAAGAATGGCAAGATATCGAAGCTCATAACTTTCTTCAAACTTGATTTTGTTAAACGAAATTTGTTGCAAAATATAGGTTTTGAAACGAGCTACAAAATGATATTAAATTTGTTTACATTTAAAAATTTCCAAACTTCGTTGAACCATTATACAATGCTTAGTTTGAAAATCGTCCCATGCTGCTAGAAAAGCGCATATAACTTGCTTCAAATTCAACGTTTTCAGATGTTCTAAACAACAAAATGTAGGTCTCAAAATGATTTTTGAAATAATATCAGTAGTTACGACTAATTTTGAATTGACGTCATTCAAATCCGAAAACATAAGACCTAGTCATATTTTATATCATTTTGTAGCCATTTTCATTTCTTATCTTTTCCAATCGGAATTATTCAAAAATTTTGAATTTGAAGCCAGTTACCGATCTCAACTGCATATCACTGATTTGGAATGAGTCGACGAGAGAGACAGCGTTGGGACGGATTGTCTCAAGAGACACATACAACTGATTCCTTATCAAGTCCATTTGATTCGATGACAGTAATCCCTGGACATATATTCCAATGTCCATGACTTCATATGTTACATGTACATTCAATAAATCAATCAATACGCCCTTCACTTTTTGATCTACTATTGATCCTACATGATTGATGAAAGTGGACATTATGTAGAGACGAGTGTGCAGGCGACTGGCCTGGAAAACCTCTAGATTATAAATTCTAGAATCTTCTAAAACCGACAAACTCACTCTAGTCAACTCAACGGATGCTTGATTCCACGCCTTCTCATTGCTCATCCCAGAATTCCTCAACTTCTGGAACTTTTCCGTAGCTCTCCATGTCTGATTCCTTGCTGCATATTCGAACACTTTCAGATACTCATTTGGTCCCAAATTTAGATCAATTTCTGATTCCTTTTCAGCTAGATACGCCACCATTGGTCCCAATTCCCTTGATTTTCCATTTTGAATCATTTCAATCGATTTGACAAGATATCTTGCCAACTGGAGAAGCATCACCATATTCTCCCCTTCATACGTACATCCACCAATAGCGACTCCATAGATCTCAGAGATGTAGCTGGCCTGGAAGATTGGAGGTTTGAAAATGGATTTTTTGAAATCTATGGGTTCAAAAACCTTAGGACCTTTTTTCTATGAATTTCTGATGTTTCTAAACTACAAAAAATCCGACCTACAATTCCTAATTTTACTCTAAAACCTTCAAATTTGGTATAAAGTTGTTCCAAATACCGTCCAAATTTCAGATTGATAAGAAGTTCAAAATTTCAATTATCCTAGCAAATGTTACATGAGCTCAAAGCTATTTTTTCTCCTGAGAGAGTACATAAGTGCACATATACTCTCTCAATTGTACTATTAAGTCATTGTTGATGATTTTATTTTCAAAAATAAAAATAAAATAATTTTAAAATTTAGCGAAGTGGAATACCCGAAGGATTTAAAATGTGTGCTGTGGGTGAGCTCCAAGTCAGGTGCTCAGTCTCCTTTCCCGTTTTACTCCAATTTTAGCACATAATTTTTGGTTAATTTTCTATCAATTTCTGATATAGAATTAGATACCGTAAAACCTGTAATAGAAGGGCCCCCATACTGTTAACACTGAGTTCATATATCTCTTTTCCTGTAGAAGATATCAAAACGCTGTTAACTGATAAAATGTACTTGATATCATGATAAACATTTTATCAGTTGACCACTTTTTGATATCTTTGACAGGAACAGAGATAAATGGGCTCAAAGTTCAAAGTTAAGGGGCCCTTCTATTACAGGTTTTACGGTATTTAGTGTTTTACTTCAATTTTAGCCTAATTTTGATCTTTTCAGTTTTCACGGAAAGAATGTTCACTCTGCCTCCGATTCAAAATATCAATCCCAACCGTGTTTTCTGGAATGCACGAGTGGCAAGAAGAATTGGGGAGCAGTTCCGAGACGATCCACAACCATCACTTTTTCAGAGGATAATCCAGGTAGGTAAAAAAGATTCATGGAGAGCACTATCCGTAATACATATTCTCAAAAAAGTCTAAAAAATCTTCAAAAACCATTTGGAATATTTTGAAACATTTAGAAACATCCCAGAAACCAATATGTGTTTCAGAGCATCGGTCGCGGTCTGCGAGCTCTCACCAGCTGTTGCTGAGCATCTCAAAAAATGAGGTTGGTTAAAATTTTACAAACTTTCCTTTTTTTGAAATTTCAAAAAATTTCAGGAACTACTCTTCATTCAAGTTTCCTCTGCTCCTCCAAACTCCGATTTTCAACCTCACGATTCTTTATTTTTCAATATTCTACCTTACCAAGCTCTCTCTCTCTCTCTCTCTCTCTCTCTCTCTCTCTCTCTCTCTCTCTCTCTCTCTCTCTCTTTTTCTCTCTCTCTCTCTCTTCTTTTTCCAATTTCTGAAAATGTTTCAAAAATTCCCAAAAAACTAAATTTCCCTATCTTTTTTTGTAATTCTAGAAAATCCTTCCTTTCTTCGAATAATAATTCCTGTGATATCACTTATATGTATATTGAGACACCGTCTTTCTGTGATATTCAAAAAAAAATAACTTGAAATTAAAAAATAAATAAAACCTTGGATGATTCATACACATATAATTGTGTTTGTCTCTTAACATCTTACCAAGAGAAGAACAAATCAACTCTTTTGGAAGAAATTAATAAAGTAACTTATATATTGAGGAAACGAGAAGACGGTTGAGGATCGCTACAAGATCCAGAAGCCCATAATAAACCGATTACATACGGTAACGAAGTTGTCTCAGATAAGTTGAACTCGGAAAAATGACTAACGTCTGAGCTGCGCAGCAAGACTGTCGAATTAGGTCCGAGGAATTTTTTTAGTTCTGGTTCTTCTGAAATAGGTAGTGATAGTTTTTGGCTGACTGAGCTTATTTTCGAGAGAACGGCCTGATTGGTCCACGATAACATACCGATGGCCTCAATCACTGCCGGTCGCGGCCCTGTTTCCGACAGCCTTACTACGCTGTTACGAACTTATGAAACACGCTTAATGTTTAACTAGCTGCTCACCAAACTGCTCCACATTCGTTTTAATCCTTGCTGAACTTTAATTACCCTAATTATATCCGAAAACCTCTAATTTATATTCTTAATTACCTTACAATTAGCTACCCGGTCAGGAAGTAGGGCTGTCGAGTACACTTTTCAGGTGTACTTTCTGAATCATCTCAAAATCCGAAATTTTCATCATTAATCTTTATTTTTCCGACATTAAAAAAAACTCTTCAAATGTCATGAATGATGATGATTCACAAAGCACAAAAGGATGAAGTTTTTTCCAAATAAGTACTTTGATGAATTTTTAGTTTGATTGGGACTAGTTCGGATACCCAAAGGAGATATTTCTCATCACCTTCTGTCTGTCGAGCTTCAGCCTTCTCGCTCATTAATTGCTTTTTTCCTGTTGGAAGTTTTCCTTTTCTGGCTCATTTTTGAGCCAGTCTTGTCTGGATTTTGAGCTTTTAGACTCTTGGCTCCAGACTGATTTTTAGCTTCCGGATACTCGAAGAATCTAGTTCATAAAACATTTATAACTTTTAGGTTCTCTCTATTTTTCTCGCTGCACAATGGTTCACCCGATTGGATTCGACAATATTGAACACATCGATCCCGCCTATATACCTCCTCTCCGGCGCGCTCAACGTGAAGAGGCGATGATGGAAAATTTGGAGCGCGTCGGGATGGGGATGGGATATGCAGACCGCCGGGAGGTTTATATCGTCCCTGCACAGCAGCACGACGATGTGGAGGGAATTCTTCGCAACATTCCTGAAGTCCAAGCGACAACTCTAGGAGAAAAAATCACTAATAGTGGAATCACAAAGCAGCTGAGAGTGAGTTAAAAAGGAAAAAATTAAAAATACACATGTGAAAGAGTTGCCCGGGAGAGTTCGAATTGCGCTTCTTCGGCGTTCGGCATAGTTAGGACTAATCAAGCTGGTGGTAGGACCTTTAGATGTGGTTCATATGAATACTGTAGTTAATCGAGTCTCTAATATACTCTAATAGATATACTTGTAATCCGGGCCCTTGCCATTGTTTCTTTCAGAATCATTTTTTTTTTCAGACCAACTAAATCAAATATAATAGAGCTCAACGAGTACTACAAAATGATATTATTTGGAGAACTACTGTATCTTGTTTGCGAACAAAGTTACAGGCGAAAAAGAGTGAAAAAAGCAGGTCACTTTATGTCCTGTAACTTTGTTCGCAGACAAAATACATATTCCGCATAATATAATTTTGTAGTACTCGTCGAGCTCTATCCTATACAATTTAGTTGGTCTAAAAGTTTTGATTCTGAAAGAAACTATGGCAGCGCCCGCGACGGCCCGGGAAAGGCCCGGATTACAAGTATGCTAGGGGTACTTTACCCCCATTGTATCCTTGAATTATTGTACCCTCCGAATAATGTGCCCAATTCGAAATATAGAAAACGGAATGGGAACTTAGTACTGTAGATTTTTATGCCTTGTAAGACGGCCCACGATCCAAGGGTACATCGAAAAAGGGTACATCGAGGGTTCTTCNAGTTCTGATGAGCCGTTGGTTCCTGTCGACTCTTTTCTGGTAGCCTCAGAGTACCCCGTGTGACAACTCCTTTATATAACCCCGAAAACTTAAACCTATACAAGTTTTATATGATTCTGTAGCCCTTTTCAAGGTCTACAAATTCCAATTTGAATTTTTCTAAAAAGTCAATTAGAAACCAAGTTATGAACCCTCGAATTTGCAGGTCCTCGGTCGTCGCGATGGAAATGTCTATGAGAATCTCTTCAAATGGGCAAAATCGTCTCCATTGAACAAGACAGACGTACTTCCATCAGTTACTCAGTACTTAAAACCAATGATGGAAAAGGCCAGATTATAAAATAACTTTATTGATTTTTATTGTTTTTATTGTACTTTAAAAGTTGCACTAATAAATAGTACAGGTTTTTTTGCACACATTTACGCTCCGCCCACTTTTTCCATGGGGTATAAAAGGTTAAGACTGTTACAATTAGGCACTACGTTGACACTACACTGTGTCTCAATATGAATCAATCAATAAAACCCGGGGACAATCCGGATCTCACCGATGAGAGACTTTCTG